TTCGAAACAGTTTCATCAAATCAAACAATGTCAAAGAACAAGACTAAGCTTACCATTTAAAGCTTCCATCAAATGGCAAGCTTAGTCTCGGTTAAGCTCTCAAACACCAATTTTTTACTTTGGAAATCTCAAATCTTTCCTTTAATCCAGAGTGCTCAACTCATGAATCATCTTGAAGAGGAGGCACCTGCGATGAATATCACAAGGAATGGAAAAGAAGAAACAAATCCAGATTGTGAGGTCTGGTTAAACAATGATGGATTGCTCACCAGCTGGTTACTTGGAACCATGAATGAAGAAGCACTGAGTTTAGTTGTTGGCTGTGATACAACTAGCCAAATCTGGAGGTGTCTTGAAGATCATTACCTTGCCTCTACTAAGGAATAAGAAATTCACCTTAAGGGGCAGTTAGCAATCAAGCAAGGAGATGGTGAATCTCTTGAAAATTTTATAAGGAAGTTCAAAGGAACCTACGATAGCTTGGCTGCAATCCGCAAGCCTGTCGATGACTTGGACAAGGTGTTTCAATTGTCCAGGGTTATAGGAACACGCGATCAACCTTACAATCTAGCAGTGTTGTCAAAAAGGCCATATCCTACTTTCAACCAATATATTACAGGGCTACAAAATAATGAAAGGGTTGTAGGCAGCAGAGCAGGAAAACACGCATAAAACTTCAGCATATTGACCGAACAGGTGTCACAGGACTTAACTTTTGATAATGCTTAAAATGACAAGTTTAAAAGTGCTAATCACAGAGTATTGACCGAACAAGCTGGTCCTAGAATTTCTATGGTTTGTTTTTTCAAACAACTTACAGAAAATGCCTCAAGACTCTATGGACCAATTAAGGAATTGTTATCAGATGAAAACCCTCCAATTTACAAGGAGACTTCTGTAAAAGAGTATTTGCCACTCTACTACTCAAAAGGCCTCGACGGAACCTCCTCTCTATCACATTTCAAGCTGTGAAGCGAAGTCGCAAAATTAGAGTTCCTGGTCATTTTTAACTTGTCAGTCCATTTGCTCAAATGAATTTGTGGTTTATGTTGGAGCAACCGATGTTTCTGCATTATGGACTTACTGTCTGTTGATCATGCAAAAGCCTTATAGAAGTTTTTTTTTGGATAAAATGTGAAATTTTTTATCCATAAACTAATTGTACAGTAAGCAGCAAATTAGCTGCTACAAAGAATACACTCTCCCAAAACAAACTAGCAAAAACTGCACCAATCTATTCCTTCACAACATCTTCCAGCTATAGAAGATGATTATTATTACTATTAATGATCGGACTTCTTTCTTGTCTAACTGCACAACTGGCCTAACTAGCTTTGTTACAAACTTATGTACCAAATTCCAGTGCCTAAGCTTATTGATTTATTGTCATTAATTTGAATTAATTGACCATTTATCAGTTATCTTGATTGCTTGTACCTCTTTTTTTCTCCAGGAAATATGAATGCTCATCAAACTTGCTAATGTACCAGAAAAATTAAAATTAACAAAGACAGGGCTTTTCAGACTCTGTTGACGTCTACTAAAATAGTAAATTGGATTAACTTGAGTTGGTCCTAAACAAAACCATTTTTGGTCCTCCTTGAATTATTAAGAAGGGATGTCTCTTGTGGTTAACAGAGCATTGGTGGTTTATTTCTTGAGTTTCCTGTTTTACTATTTAAATTTAATTAAATTGTAAAATAAAAACCATTAAATAAAAATAAAACTTTTATATCACGGCTCACCCCTATCTAATAGCTACACTTAATGGATAATACTTTTCCCCTGTTTCTTTGTCTGTGCCTCTTTTAGGCATGTCACTTGGAAGGAAGACGTGGTTTATATTTCTAGCCACTCAGAAAAAGATAAGGTGCAACTACCTTTACGAGGCTTCTTGTCCGGTGTCCCCTAGATATCTTCTCCTAGTCTTTTGTCCACATCATAAATTCTGTAGATTGTGCAGGACTGTTCGTACTTCAGAGTAAACAAAAATGGTGGTGGCTGGAGCTACTGAAGTCTCTGATGATAATTCTGGTTATGACCGAGTAGCAGAATTGAGAGCTTTTGATGACACCAAGGCGGGTGTCAAAGGACTTGTGAAAAGATAACATTTCCCTCAATCTATTCAATGAATGGAATACAAGTTTATATACAAGAGTATGTTAACGGCAAGAAAAACATAAAAGGAAAGGGAGAAGCTGACCGTTGGCAATGGTAAAAGAAATAAAGGAAAGAAAAATGCTACTGACGTGATTCAAGGGATTAGCCTTGATCACAGGACAACTAATCAATAATTCTATGAAATCTAACA